TGCCCAATCGCATTTGCTTGGCTCTACAATCCCAAGTCCACTCGAGAACCAGGTTGTGCAGTGCGTCCAGACGTTAGATACCTCCCCTTGTGCCGTACCTCCAGAAGAACGGATTATAGAGGAACAAATTTGCTCAGCGCTGAAATATAGTAAAAACATGAAGGCTCCCGGGTTTGACGGAATATTCAACCTAGCGCTGAAAAATCTCAGCCCGAGGGTCCACTCGCTGCTGGCTGCCATCCTCAACAGATGCTTGGAGCTGCACTACTTTCCAAGCATCTGGAAGTTGGCAAAAATCATCCCGATCCGCAAACCTGGGAAAGACCCTTCACTACCGTCAAGCTACAGACCGATTAGCCTGCTCTCAGCGCTGAGCAAGCTGTTCGAAAAATTGATCCTCAGCCGACTAAACAAGTTTGTGGAGGAACATGACATTCTTCTTCCGGAACAGTTCGGGTTCCGTAAGGGGCATTCCACCAATCATCAGCTAGTGCGGGTGATGAATAACATCCGAAGTAACAAAGCTGTATCCAAGTCCACAGCCATGGCCTTGTTAGACGTCGAAAAGGCGTTTGACAATGTCTGGCACGACGGACTTATATACAAGCTTTGTAACTCCAACTTTCCACCATACCTTGTGAAAATCACCCGTAACTATCTCCAGCAAAGGTCGTTCAGGGTGTCGTTGAATAGTTCCCTTTCGGGACAATTTCCGATCCCAGCAGGTGTTCCGCAAGGGAGTCTGCTGGGACCACTGCTTTACAGCATCTACACGTCGGACATCCCTCCTCTAGGAGACGGTTGCGTGTTCTTTCTGTTTGCAGATGACACCGCGATAGCTGTCAAGGGTAGGATGCCTCGTGAAATTACGAACAAGCTCCAACGATGCCTTGACACCTTTACTGATTATGCCACCACGTGGAAAATCAAAATCAACGCCTCGAAAACCCAAGCGATCATGTTCCTTCACAGACAATCATTAAAACTTAAACCGTCTCCCTCCTGTACCGTAATGATGGATGGTACAAGGGTCGAGTGGTCCACTGATGTTACTTATCTCGGGATGTTGTTCGATGAGAAGCTCCTGTTCCGCTCGCACATAGAGAAAACCCTAGTTAAGTGCTCCGCCTTGGTTAGGTGTTTGTATCCGCTCATTTGCCGCAGATCCCGCCTCTCAAGGCAAAACAAACTGGCTGTTTACAAACAGATCATAGCCCCCGCGATCTTCTATGCCGCCCCGGTGTGGGAATCGTGCGCTCAGACCCACCGGAACAAAATCCAGGTTGCACAGAATAGAGTGTTGAGGATGATCCTAGATCGTCCATTCGACACAAGAATAGCAGACCTCCATCAAGAGGCAGAAATTCCCAAAGTAGATTCCAAAATTGATGATATGACAACTAAATTTATTCAAAAATGCAATCTTTCTGAACATGCTTTAATAAGCAATTTGTACATAGTAGGTTAAGTGTATATAGTAGAGTAGGTTAGTTTTAAGCTGTAAATAGTAGTATTAAGTAGTTTCTCTTCAAATTCTAAAAACAAAACAAACCAATCCCACCAAGGTGGTCGACCGTGTACTAAGTCTAGGACTAATCCTGTAAAACAAATTTTAAATTTTGCCCATACCTAAAGATGAAGAAAGCAATTAAATCACTTAGTAAAAAATTTATATGGTAATCGTCCAAGTTAAACTAAAATAAAGATCATTTAAACATAATTTAAACATCAAGTCAATCATTCTATTCTCGGACGCCGAACAGTGTGCACCTAGCACAGCTAACCATAGCAGAGCGCACCCCGCAGAGCTAACCCTAGCAGAGCGCACCCCGCAGAGCTAACCCTAGCAGAGAACCACAAACCAGCCGATACCAGTCATGGTGCGTGATGCGGTACCGGAAAGGGAGAGTGCCGGCTTCGACACAGCTGGCATCGGCTGGCGTCGAGGGTAGGAGACTGGAGATGAAGCGAGTATTTGTATTGCCTTGACGGTAGCAATGCAGGTCAGCTCCAGTCAATACATCAGCCTTGTGTCTACGGTGGCCCGGGAAACACGGAAACGTACTTCTCTGTTGTTGGACCGTTGGCGACGGGAGAAGGTGCAGATGAGGTTGATCCTGCTGTGACAGCTGACCTTGACCGCTTGAAGGTACTGGTCAAAACTCAGCGACCGGTCAATAACAACCCCCAGCAGTTTCACAGTTTTCTTCAATGGGATAGCTTGATTACCGGTCTTTATGGAAGATCCGCAGACCCGATGTCGGTACTGGCAAACGTGGCACCTAGCACTCTTTCCAGCAGATAGCTGAAAACCTTTCGAAGCGGTCCATCTGGCTACGGCGGAAACCCCTGCTTGGGCTCTAATCTTCGTTCGTCCCGGAGTTTGACCTGTGGCTACGATTAGCACGTCGTCTGCGTACACGAAAATGTAGATGTTCGCTGGTAACCGCTCGAAGACACTGTTCATGGCTACCAGGAACAAAGTGACAGATCACTGAACCTTGGGCATCCGCTCGAACACCTTTGCCAAAGGTGTTCGAGCGGATGGTCAACCGACGATTGAAGTTTGACGAATATCTATAAGTTACTCGGGTTTCTAGGTTTCTGAAGTTCTCCGGGATTGATCAAAGTTTTAGGAGTTTTTGAAAAGCACGATATTGCCACGCTGGATCTAGTATTACTTATGGATGAATCTTCCATTCATCTTTCACTATTCATAGAATTTAAAGTCCTATGCATTTTTCCGACTTCAAATTCTTATGTGTATATTAGCTACCTAAGTAATTTAGATGATACCTTTGCGCACTTTTTTTTTATCTAGTTCGCTTAATTAAAAGCTCTATCGTGTTAGCTTTACGGAGCCGATAATGCATTGTTAATAACAAAATTAACCTATTTATATCTCTAGTAGGAGCTGGGCCGAATACTCGCGGCTTACCCGAGGTTAGAGAGGTACGTTGTCTAAGGATAGGATCAGGGGAGGAGCTTGGGGTGGGGTTTCGTTATCTCATCAGAGCGTTGTCGCCAGTATGAACGGTAGTGCGGTTCTAGATTCGTCTGGAGTTCGACCGGCAATGGTGACCAGTGGGCGACGAGACTCATCAAGAACAGGGGGCAAGACAAACAAAAACTAATATAGAGATTCAAAAGACGAACGAGATCGCGGGTAACCAACACGTCTCTGATAGGGTTATAGGGTTGTCTTCCTTGGGCCTCGAGGGTATTCAAAAGTCGATCTCTGGCGGCGTCATTATCCGTACATTTCGTACAACCAACAATCAATACGAAACTAACGATTTTAAATTGGCTCACCACTTTAGTAGCCTATTGGTCCCAAGCAAACGATTAACGTACCCTATTCTAGTTGAAATTCTAGTACTACGCAATGTTTGTTTTGATTCGCTATGAAAGTTTGACAGATAAAATGAGGGGTTATTGGTTTTACCTATGTTTCGAGGGGTGATTCGACAAGCTTGGGACCGAAGATAGTACCAGAGGTGAGCCAAAAAGTTGAGCACGTTTCTTCGGGACCTACTTGTCTTAGAGTTACCTCTATGGTACAACCACCGACAAGCCGACATGAATGACCATAGCAAAAGCACTAAAATTTCTGACCAAAGCACACTACTGATATCTGGCTCCGTGTTCGCGGGAAATATTTAGCTAAACGATGAACCCGCATTGAAAAATTATGAATTGGTTCGGGTCTGATCTATTCTGGACAAATTATTTTTATCTAGATCAAAAAATCCTATGGTTTTGACAGTTCGGATCACTGCACATTTAAATCGACCGTTTAAGATTTTCGGGCATATGTCAGAATTAAGTGTCATGTCGGTTTGTCGGTGGTACAACTGCGTGATCGATGTCATCGTGACCGTTTCCTCACCGACAGATGTTGCTGTCCACGAGGTTTATTCTATCGAGATGCGCATCTAGCGAGTAGTGGTTGCTCAAGCCTTTAAACTACGCTCTTGAAAAAAAACATTAGTAATAATTGAATGTAACCCCTGTCCAAGATTTCCAGTGTTATAGAACCGTACTGGCAATCTATCAGAGGAGAGAATATTCTCAGTGATATAGAACAGCTTCTTTCCCTTTTTCTTTTATTAATCGAATGATGAATTTGTAATTCAATAGTTTTAGACTTATTTATTTTATTATTGGATTCATCCGTACCCTACAAAGATGACGAATAGACAACATCAACCTGAATCCGAAAGATGTTGCTCATTTGTCATCTTGTCAGTTCCAACTTTGTTTACTCATTTTTAGGTTGCCCTACTTTTGACGGATGTGAGTAGATCCTACTCAAATTTGGGTTGTTTAGATATAGCGTTAAGAACATTTCTAACACACCTCTCCCCCTCCCCCCTAAGTATTTACGTAATTATTGAATCGCCCCACATACTCAGCTGCACGAGGAGAACAATTCCATTATTTAGGCCTATTCTGCGCGGCGTGTGAGGTGAGGTGACAGTGAGCTGATGATGAAGGCCCTTATTACGAGTGTCACTTCACGGTGAAAACGAAGGTGTCACTCAAGGTGAAGTGATTGCCGTGTAAATCAAATGGGAATCTTTTCACCGTGAGTAATAAGTTGTACCTTCACCGTGAAGTGACAATTGACCACTTTGTCAAGCAGTTTTGGCGTGACTTTCTACCAGCGATTCCATAAAACTGGACCAACTAATTTCTATTTTTTTATGAAACGCACAAAAAATTGCTACTTTTCTCGTGGTACTAGAAGAAAAAATCTCAAAATAATGTTTTATTTCAAAGTTCGAGTGGTAGTAAACGTCATTTTAACTGCTAGAATGAAGTGGTTAATTATGGTCACCTCTGGTGAGGTGACTCTACATGCAAATCAAATGGCACCTCACTCGAGGTGACAATAATTGTCACTTCACCTCACACGCCGCGCAGAATAGGCTTAATTTCCTTCTTTCTATTGAAAATCAAGCATTCTCGAATTATTTTTTATTGGCTTTTATTTTGTAAAAAATTACCATTCTATTCTCTTCTCGTTAACCTAAAAATTCACATGGGATTATACAAAATGTTCACGAGTCAGGCAAGGGAAAATGAAAACAAAGCATTCGAACCTATCTGCCGAGTGAAGCATTTTATCATCTATCAGTTTCCAGCTGTTTTTGTTTTCCTTATTTACAAGATAATTAATCTGCAGTAACTAATTATTATACCACTTTCAACGTCATTGTAACCACTAGTTTATAATTTATTATCCGTTTTTCTTCCTTTTTCACGCATCAGCAGAACAAGCAGCTTACACAGAGACAAGCAGCTGCTGAGCGTAAATGTTATTTTACTCTACTTTTTTTATATGTCTTAACTTTCCATCTAGTCCTAAATGATATTGTTTCCTTTTGCTTTTGTTTAGTTGTTTTTCGCTCGCGATTCGAATGCCAAGGCGTTTTCGGGAGGGATTTTCGAGGGTATGATAAGGTGACTTCTTCCGTTAAAGCTTCTCTGTTCAGGATGAAAGTGGTGAAATGTAGAACAGATACACGCATATAATGGATATCGACGGCCGATGCTAGTCATGATTGCACGTGAAGAATGTTGTGAAGGTAGCTGAAATTAAACGCTAGTGCGGTTGTAAATTGGTTTCTTCTTTGAATGAAATCGTTTCCTAAAAAGCATAATTTTCATTTCAACCGCTCGCAGCTAAAAAAAAACTAGTTTTCTACTTTAGCTCCTCCTAATAGATGATCTGACTCGTCGACCGGCTACTGGCCGCTGCATTGGATGTTATAGCTTCCTCCAGGTTTGAATCCAGCTTCCGGTATGCTGCCGTATGTTTTCTGCCCTTGTTGAAACCTCCTCGCCCGGAACTGGTTCTCCGGCCTTCCAGCAGCAGGGCCAGCAGTTTGGACTTGTTGTGATATGCCACGTAGCACAAGATGCACACGAACATCATGAACAGAAAGTACGAGAAAAAGTTCGAATCATCTTGGTCGAAAAATGGATCCTCCTGTTCCACCCGTTCCACCTGTACCGCAGCATCGGCTTTCTGATCATCAGCCATACCGCCCGAATCGGTTTTCTTCCTACCAAACGGCTCCTGTTCCAACTTTGGCTGTACATTTTCGGAAGTTTCCTGCGTTTCGTCTAATTGCGGTTCCGTTTCATAAATGGTATCATCATCTGCATCGCCTTCTTCCTGGAGATTATTGGATGGACTGTTTCCATTCATATCTTTTAAGTTTTGCTGGTTTCGCAGTTCATTAAGGTCTTGGCTGTCGTCTCCATCGACAAGGTTCTTATCAGCGAGTGATATCTCTGGTTTCGTAGGGGCACTAGTAGCAGTTGTCTGGGAAGCCGGGGAGACAATGGCGGCTGTGTCGGATGACGCCTTCGTTCGATCATTTTCGGTATTCTTCGGTGGCGAAGCTTTTCCGGTGTTCTCCGGTAAAGTGATGTTCGACTGTGCTGCTGCAACTGGTTGTGCGGGATTTGTTTCGGCTAGTGAAAGAAGACCACAAAGATGAAGTTAGCATTATTGTGATAAGAACAAGGAACACACTCCACACTTACCGTGTTCGTTTTCTGCAATTTGCCCATCACCAATGGGCAGCATCGGTGGCATTAGCACCTTTGTAGCTTGCTTTGCCGGATCTTGTTCTTCTACTTCCGACTGCAGTTCCTTTTGGAATCCCCACAACAAAACCTTGCAAATCGGTTTGACGTGCATGGACATCGTAGCTTCGTCAAACGGCACACACCATTTCTCGCAAATGCGACGGTTTTCCAGGCGATTGCTTTGGAAACGATCCAGATGCTTTTGTCTTATGGCTTGCAACAGGGGAGATAAATTGTCACAGAAGCGGTTCCCGTCTGCCTTCTCGGTGATAATTTTATTGATGTCTGCGGCCGTCACCGGATCCCGTTTCCGTTGGCTTAAGATCGTCGTGAGGTTACGATACAGTTCACAAATTTGCTCCGTCGCAGAATCGATATTGCATTCGGCCAGGAAGGTCAGTTTGCTTTCGTCCAGCAGATCGCTTGGGACGGATTGACCATGGGAACTTTCCGAAGCGGACGGATTCGGCAGTACTGGTGGTGTTGCTGGCACTTGTGCCGTAGCATTTGTAACAATTCCCACCGAGGCACACCGGACAGCAAGGATTAACGATGCCATGACGATCATTAATTTCAAGGATAAATCGTGGAACGGCATTTTGTTTTCGTTCTGCTGCGTTTAATGGAGAGATATTCCCGTTTTTTTTTTATTATTTATGACTAACACTGGTAGGTCGCTGGATTTGCACCGTTTGACGATAAGATGATAAGATTTTTTTTATCTTATTCTGATGCCTTCGATTGCGTAGGTCGAGCGTTTGGCATATCGTTGTGAAATTTATGATTATTTACCAATTTTCTCCAGAAAACTGCGGAGAATCTCCGATGTTCACTTGAATAACACTATTTTTCAACTCTTTTTGCTGCTTTTGATTTTGACAACGTCAAGGTCTTTTCTGCGTCACCAGCAGCACGACCCCCGCCCCCCTGACTTCTGTCAATCGATCAGTGTTGGTAACTTCCAAGGAATTTATATAAGGTCCGGACCTCCAGGTAGCTTGCTGGTGTTAGAAGCAGCGTTGCCAGATATACCGATTTCCGTAATAGATACCGATATACAGATAAGTAGAAATACTCAGAGGGAGAGATAGGCGGAGAAAACTAAATACAATTTGGCAGCAGGGATTTGTTCCTAAATTATCTTGCAACCCTTGCTAGAAGCTAGCATTTCAAATGACTTTTATTTTTGATTTGATTTACGTGCAAAATAATAATTGATTGCATTGCAATATGTAGCACATTTCTTGGTACCATTTATTAACCAACGAAGATCAATTAATCAATAGAGTTAGAATATTGTTTTTGGTTCCAAAAACTAGTTGAATTTGAGAAGCACACAAAACATAAAGGTGATTGAATTTCTGTTCGATTGCAATACTCTCGAATTTATTCTAGTAAGAATAATAAATCCTTGGAAAAATTCTAATTGGAATGTTCGATTGGCTCAGAATTTTGACAGTTCATTTGGCTCAAAACATTCTCTCCGCCCATCTCTCCCTCTGAGTATTTCTACAGATAAGGTTCCTCAGAATACCGATTTTTGAGGTGTTATACCGATGTATATCGATTTGTTATACTGATAAATAATCAAAATCAAAATTTTGTGTGAGACTTGTATCTTTTTGAATATCTCAAATTTTTTGAGTGTTTAAAATTCTAAAAAAAAAATATTTTCAAAAATGTCTCTCGATTAATGTTTCAATTTCCCCACCATTTTTGGCTACCCATGAATCGATAAACAGTCGATGGCTCTTTCTGGTAATTCCGGGGGAATCGGGAAATACGTTTTAAACGTTAATTTTCTTCCAACTTTCCCCTGAAATTTTCTATTTACGATTCCTCTCTTAAACTTACTTCGACTTCCCTTGGAAGCTTCTTCAGTCTTCGCTCGAATGATTCTTCCCGGAACTTCAGGGATGCTGCTGGATTTTGATTGCGGATCCACACTAGCTGCAGGAACTTTTAAAAAGTTCTGAAACATCAGAAAAGTCCAGACTTTTGAGTAAGTTTCGATAAATTAAAGAATGTAACTTCTGTTAAAATTCTAAAACCCGGTCCAGCGAACTCCAGTGAACTTAAGGAAACATCATAAATATTTTGAATACTTCACAAGTTCAAAGAACTTCTGGAAAATTTAATAGTTTTCAGGACAGTTCCATTAGTTTCAGGAGAAATGAGAGAACTTTAGGAATCTCCGAGAACATCAGGCAGGACAATCAGAACAGATCAATGAATTTCAAGGAAATCGCTGAAATTTGAAAGGACTTCCGAGAAACTCAGGCAATTGCCGAAAACTTCAGCATTGTTCCGAGGGGCTCATGCAAATTTAAGAAACGTAAGGGAAGTTACACGAACATTAGCACATTGTGAGAAAATTTTATGGGAAGTTCCGTGCTTATTGATGACAGTGTCGATAACTTTTAAAAATTAGAAAAATCGGGAAGATCAGAGAACTTCAATGCTGATGTTACAATAAATTCAAGAAAATTGTGAGAGTACTTAAGAAATTTCGTAATCTTCAAGAAAGTCTAGAAACCTTCAAAGTTGATTAGAGATATTCCGGTAGTCTGATTATAATCAGGGGAAGTTCCAAGTATTTCAAAGATGATCAGAGTATTCCAAAACAGCCCGAGGAAATATGGAATATTCCAAAAACTTCAGGGGCATTGCGGGGTGTCTTCAGGGATCTTTTATGACCATTTGGAAAATTTTCTTGGTCATTAGAACATCCCCCAAGAGCTCTTTCTTCCGGAATTATGTCCTTGTTTCTTTCGACTGTTCTGTTAGTACTCTGGCTTCCGACTTCCTCCAGTTTTTTTTTCCAATGTATCTTAGGAAGTTTCTTCCGTCTTCTCCAGGAAGTTCAATTTAACTTCTCCCAGAAATTTCTTTTCTAGTTCTGGAATTTTGTCCAGTTGGTTTTTTTTTTTTACTTCTATAGGAAGGTTTTTCCGAACTTCTTCTGGCTTCCCCTGGAAATGGCTACTTCTGGAATTTATTTCCGATTTCCTAAACTTTTCTGCTTTCCTTTGAATGTGAAATCCGATTTTTTTTCTGAAAGTTTCTTTAAATTTTCGAAAGAAATGTCTCAATTTATGTCTTGGAAGTTCCGCGGATGTTTTTCCGACTTCTCTCAGAACTTTCGTCAAACTTTCTCCAGGAGAGCTCTTGTTTTCAACTTCCTCCAGAAGCTAATTCAAACATTCTCTGGATTTTTCTTCCGGATTTTTCCGATCATAGTCCAAAAGTTAAAATTTTCGCTTTCAAAAACGCCAAAATTATATAATTTATTAAAATAGTAAATACCGATTTTTTAAAACCTTTGATACCCATAAGCTTTAAAACATTCTGGCAACGCTGGTTAGAAGCAAAAATATTGTAAACATTGCTGCACGGAACCGAAAAATTACCCAAAATTATGTTCTTTTCACTCATTGCCCATGTTCCATTCAATAAGCTAATTTTCAGTAGAAATACTCAGAGGGAGAGATAGGCGGGAAAAACAAAATACAATTCGGCAGCAAGGATTTGTACCTAAATTATCTTGCAACCCTAACTAGAAGCCAGGATTTCACATGACACTTATTTTTGATTCGATTTACGTGCAAAATAATAATTGATGCGATGCAATATTTTGCACATTTCATGGTGCCATTAATTAACCAACTAAGATCAATTAATCAATACACGGCGAATGAGAATGACCCAAATTTGAGTTTAGTTCACTCATAATCGCCAAAAGAGCAGGAACTCAGCGATGAGTAAAATTTGTCTCATGGTTTCCTGGGTTTCCTGTGGAAAATCTAAAAAATCTACCGGAAAATGAAGAAATTGACGAAAATTTTATTCAGTCTCGGAGTAGTACCAATAGCCTAGTTCTCATTCGCCGTGTAGAGTTAGAATATTGTTTTTGATTCCATAAACTAGTTGAATTTGAGAAGCACACGAAACATACAGGTGATTGAATTTCTGTTCGATTGCAATACTCTCAAATATAATCTAGTAAGAATAAGAAATCCTCGGACAAATTCTCATTGGAATGTTCGATTGGCTCAGATTTTGGCAGTTCATTTGGTTCAAAACGTTCTCTTCGCCCATCTCTCCCTCTGAGTATTTCTAATGTTCAGTAAACCGCTTATAATACACACTTAGAAATTATCGCCGACTTCGGTAATTTTTACCGAAAACTGAACAGCTGAACTGTTCGGTAAAATTTATGTAATTCAATTCAAGTGCTTTTCAGCTGTTTTGAAACTAAATCTCCATCAAAATGACAAGATTTGATCATTTAAACAAGGTTGAACATGTTTTGAAATTATTTTCAAATTCAATAGCCTTTAAAATGAAGGTCAAAATTTACCGAAAATCGAACCTCTCGTTCCGTTTTTGACAACAACAAAAAGTGAGAGTGGGATGCAAAACTCAAAATGACCCAAAATTAAGTAAAAAGAACTTAAATTTAGGGTAATTTTTTTCTCTGTGTGACCACTCAAGTGACGACGTCACTCTACCATAACATTCCATTTACGTCACTTCCAACAACTGTTTCGTGTAAAAAGATAAACATTGCAATGAAATACGAACACCACTAAATATTTGCACATTATTTCACTAACACCAACAAGCCTGTTGGCCCGGACCTTATATAAAGGACATTGCACAGAAAAAAAAGTTGTAGAATATTACATCCAAACTGCTGCAACCAGGTCAATCCATCGGTTGTGTAATATAACGTTGTACGATGTACATCGATTTTGCGAACAAAATTACATCCATTGATGTAATATTATATCTGCTTTTTGCTATTACATCATTATTTCATACATCAGCTTGAATTACATTGATCGATATTACATTTTTTTTTTGCTGTTTGGGTAACTTCTACTGTATTGTCCACACGGTAAGAAAAAAAAAACCCAACGACCAGTTCACTTTTACTTACTTTTGACTAAAGAGGCTCTTTACTTTTGAATAGTTTGTCTCCTTTTCTCCTTCTAATCAAGCTTAACAATGCATTAGGTCCTAAGTAACATTGATCGATTCTCTTCGTCGACTTTCTCTTTCGTTAATAACATGAGCACATAACCGTTTCTTGTTGTGTTTGTCGTATTATATGCTAGATAAAAAGCTTCTTTTATCGATCTTTGCGCTGAGAATACCTGGAAATGTCTTTAAATGGCCGTGGGGATACAAAGAGAAAGTCGACGAAGAGAATCTGTCAATGTTACTTAGGACCTAATGCAAAGTTCAGCTTGATTTGTCAAGGTCATCAATCATGTTAAAATCTAACATACCTTAAATATTTTTCAGGTAACATTGGGGGTGCAATTGGCGTTGACGAGAGCTCTGTAACTCTTTACTCCTATGGAGAAATCTCATATGTAACTGTCAGTCTATGTGTGAAACATGGCGGACATTTTCTTATTCTCTCACTCCAACGCAAAACCCCATAAAGAACTGTCAAAATGTGTGTGAAGAAACGTCACTTCGGGACTGGTGTCAAGGCGAATTTCAGAGTCCAAAGTCGGTCGCGGCATGAAAGTGGTCTGATTTTGATCTAGAGATCAGTGCCAACATTTCAAAGGGGCGTAAATGCTTTTGTAAACAATGACTTTAGCCGTCAATTTCTCGCGAATGAAATCTTACCTCTCCAAAATTACAATGCTAGCTGCTAGAGGAAACATTCCTCTACCTGCTAAAGCCATTGTTTACCAATGCAATTACGCCCCTGTTGAAATGTAATGTTGGCACAGAGATGATGGATTCTGAATCGATAGGAAATTTTTCTACGAATCTGCTTAAACGAACACTTCGATAATGAGCATGCATAAGGGCGTAATTAATCGAGATCGATGAGTTCTTGCTTCTTCTTCTTGTTTCCTGGTTGATTCTTTGT